ATTACCAAGAGCTTTATATAAGATTTTTTTTCTCACTTGGACCCTTCATGCCTTTAGCGTGCTGACAACTAGCTGTATTTTCTGAATTCTGTATTCTTTCTTCCTGTATTTTCTGGTGGATGTTGCAGCCGCCACTGGGAAATTTGTTGCAGAATTGACACTGAAGTATGTTGAATGCTATATAAATACCCCCACACAGAATAATAGATTAAACTATTCCTGCTTTGTGTTGCCACCTTCCAAAGAAGCCACCTCCAGAAGCTTTTGACTGTGTCTGTACAATAGCTCCAAGTGATTCATTGTGTGTCAGTGTTCATGGGAATGACCTATCAGACCTGGTGTTACTAGAAGCTAGTAAGACTATATGAAAACAAGCCAGGCCAATTATAAACCAGTCAGTGAACAGTTTTACATCCGTTCACACTCTGAGTTGATTTCCCCTCAGCTTTGCTTACTTTTCATGGTTGAGTAATACTTTCCATTCTGCAGTTATCTTTTTGTGCAATGGAAAATAGCTTGGTAAACATTCATTGTCTAGCTTAGGACTACAACACAGCAATATCCTCAGCTTCTCTGTAAATGGAAGAGCATAAGCTTAAGGAACAAAATGCCATTATATGGTAAATTAAGGTTGCTGTATATACAACTGTACATATGGCCTATAGAGAAGAGCACAAACACACACTACCATGTCAAATCAGACWAAGTTTGTAAATTCTTCTCACCCTATAGAGAAGCAGAGTCCCAGTTCCCTTGTTGACTGTGCCATTTTATATACAGTAGTAATCTTACGTTTCAAGAGATAATGAGAGATTTCCATGGCTGAAACAAAAATGGGAAAGGTGCAGTGTGAGCAAAGTCAACCCTGAGTTTGGTTGAGTTCTAAAAATGATGGAATAATCAACTGTATTCACATGCARGTCACGAAACTCCGGCACATCATGGTTCAAGTCATTTATCATGCTTTCATGTGTTAGTATTTCATAAAGTTAGTGTTTTAAAGTTGCCAAAAGTTACATACTTTATTGGAGGGAGGTGCATTTGGGGAGGTAATAAACACTGCCCTTCCAAAAGGAAGTTTGGAGGTGGGGGGAAGATGGCAGGAGGGGAGGCAAAGCTAGATTCCCAGCCTCCCCGCCCCCCAAAAGATGTGCATTTGTCTTGTAAGCTGTTAGAACCTAGGGGTTATGAAGCTAAGAAAATGCTATTATCTGTAGTATTTCCTAGAGAAGAAATCTATTGCTTTTTTTTCCTTGTTGTCATAAATATACGTCCATCCATATGTGTGCCCTTTTTTTTCATGCGTGTGCCTTGAAAATTGGGGATGGAGGGGGAAACCTTCCATCTCTCCAGGTCTCGCTATTGAATTTGGTTCAAGTGTTTAATACTTTTTTTGTCCTTCTTTCAGTAAGACATTTGCTTTCTTTTAAATAATTCCAGATCTTTTGGTGAGTTACATATATGCAAACAACTGAATACAAGGACTTGTGTCATAAAACTTACGATGAATAAGATTCTCCTGGTAGCATATGTTCTGCAAGATTGATCACATGTTTSCACCGACAGAGCCCTGGCACAGGCTGTCCAGGCAGGCTGTGGAGTCTCCTTCTCTGGAGGTCTCCAGACCCGCCTGGATGTCACCTTGTGCCCGTGYTCTGGGTGTCCCTGCTGGAGCAGGGGGTTGGRCKAGATGATCTGTAGAGGTCCCTTCCAACCTTAACCATTCTGGGACTGTGAGTTGCAGTMGGTTGTTGGTGAGGGGAAGGAATGACTCAGCAAGAAACAGTGTATTCTAATTGGGAACATTTGTACTGTGGTTATCAGTATGTCCGGAGTCTCCAACTATTGGTTTCCAKTTTTTTTTTTTTCAGCTGGGGAATTAGCTCAAATGGTAGAGCGCTCGCTTAGCATGCGAGAGGTAGCGGGATCGATGCCCGCATTCTCCACTCAATATTTTAACCAATTTCATTGYGAACAACATTTAAACATTCATTAATTCATTGTGAGTTAAAAAGCAGCACTTACAAGTTTTACTTTTAAATAAACTTAATTTTCTTTACTATTAATGTCGTACACAAGCCAAAAGGATATAAAAGTCTGTAGACATTGATATGTAAAAAAAAAAAACCACACACTGCCTTCAGTATTTAATTTTATCCTTTCAGAATTATATGTAGCTTTGCATACAGGGAGGTAAATGGAATCCTGMACGGAAATAATAAAGCTTATTGATCTTTTAGTAGCAACAATAAATGATACATATGAATATAAGAGAAAAATAAATATGAAAAATTTTTAACRTGAAATTTTTAGCTTATTTCATGATTTAAGTGTATATTATTGTTAATTTGCATTGTAAATAGAACAAACCTTGTATTTCTGCAGTGAGGAATATTTTTTTTTGGTTGGTTTGGTGAGGAATATTTATTTGATTGTGTAGTACTTTATTAGAAGCAACAGGCCTAACTATTATACAACTGTGCTACTGCTGGTAGTAAGTTATGTCATCTGTGAAACATTCTGGAAATTTTTCCCTATAAACCTGAATTTCCATTTCTAAGTCTTTGTAAGTTATTTTCTCTTCAAAACTGAATAAGATAGTAATAAAATATCACTTATTTAACTGTTTGTACTTGCATCTTGGCCGTATGAGCCACAGGGCAAAGCTTAATGTTTATAAATATCGGGCYCTTGTTTGCCTGAAAAAAAACCTTGAAGAGAAATCATTCACAAATTGTGTAATAATTCATACACTGATTCTGTACAAACAGGCTTTTGGGACTATGCATATTAAAGCAAATGAAAATCAGGAAGCAAAAATTGTGAATTAGGTTTAAAGCTAAGAARAGAGAGGATACTTTGCTGCATGATTGAATGGGTGGCACTTGTGAGAAAATTAATGAGTTTTGAAATCTGTGTATGATATGAGAAGACAAGAGTTGCCTCTGGAGTGGTGTGAAGGAAATTGAATTTGCTTATTTCCCTTGTTGTCTCCAAGTACTAAAAAGAGAAGAGGTATTGAAATATGAAGGCTGATAGATAATTGCAGGCAAAATGAAACCTGCTAGAGAAGGTTACTGCCTTCAGGAGTCCCAAGTGTGTTCGTGTAATGATTAAAATAACCATTTGCTTGGAAGAAGATTCTGCAGCGGGTTTTTGAGGGGAGGCAGGAGGAGGGAGGAGATTAGTTAATAACCAACACATTCTGTCCTTCAAAAAAGGATTAGTAGTGCTGTTTTTTCTCTGCTAATCAGATGCAAACTGTGTATTGATTAAATGAATGACTTCAGGGGGGACACTGTAAAGGTTCAATCTGCAATCACTTTTAGGACTGACTAACAGTAAGTGCTCTAGACTGAGCTGCCTGTTACATTTATGCACAACTTTCTACAATAGAGCTCTGGTATTTGTTAGACCTTCTAAGTAGTAATAATCAACATTAATGAATAATAGCTTTAGGAGCTTTTTTTTTTTTTGTCATCCCATGTAAAGTTTTGTGTCTTTAGTTAGTGTGATGTGAAGAATTTATGGGTTCATGTTCATTTTCTGGAAAGTGACTGTGTTTGTAGTAAATCTGTTTTAAGGTAATGTTACTGTGTGTGTCTGTTTTTGTTAGTCCCGAAAGGGGAATAGCTATTCCTTATCTGTCTTCTCTCTAAGGTTGGAGACTTTGTGGCAATGTTGGCAAATCTCCAGGGAGCGGAAGGGTGTTTGGGGACCATTATCCTGGCAACTCCTGGACAGTGTTTATCAGCAGGAGGACTGTGAGCTCAAAAAATCTTTTTTTTAAATATTATTTCACAATGTAGTTGTGATATGCTCACTTTCCTGGCTAAGTTAGCTACTTTTTTAGTGATGCTATGTAGTATTTAACAGTGCAGCTTATAAAAGATTTTTGTAGTAATGAGTCCCTTAACCCTGAATATTTTGATGCAAATATAAGCAGAACTTGTATTTCAAGGCAGAATTATTTTTATTGAAGGAAAATGTGAGAGATGAAATATTGACATATATAAGCACCCAATAGTTTGGAGAAAAGGAACATTTTGTGCTGCCTTTGAATCTGTTCACCTTATCAGTAACTGGATGTGTTTTATTTCACCATCAAACATTGCAGGGAACAACACTGTTATCCCAGGAAGTTTTGTTTCCCTCTTATAATGTTCAATTGTACCATTAAGAGTACTGTGATACAAAGCACTTCAATTCTGCCAGCAATGTTAGGCCTTTTGTCCCTTTTAGCCACTGTTTTACCTTTATTTGCAGTGGTTGCAGTCAATATTAGAATAATTTGTTGTTCGTAACCCTAAGATGGATCCTATACCTTGGTGTAAATGAAAGTGGAATCTTCTCTCTGCTTTCAGAAACTCACTGAGTACAAGTGAGCTTGGGCTGCTAAACTGCTGCTGTGTTTGTATTGTGTCTTCAGCAAAACACACCCACATTTTTCAGAGACTTCTTAACATAAGATGACCTAAAATAACGAATCTTTCTGGAGAAGAGAGGAGCGAGAGAGAAGAGGGAAAAAAAAAAAAGTGATCTCGGTACACAGGATGGTCGTAGCTCTGCCTTTGATCTCAGACTTGTTCAGTGTCTAGTTTTACTGCAAATAGAGATTGGCTGGTGAAATGTAGCTTGCTAGGAGCTCCTCTTAGCTTCATTCAAATTGCTGCAGTAAATAAACTTCCTTAAACCAGGAAGATTTGTGCAATAATCTTCAGTCTCCCTTTTGCCCTTCTGGATCGTAAAGAGCAGGAAACGTGTGTTGCTTTTTTTGTCCCGCACCACAGTATTTTCTAGAGTGGAGGAGAATAACCTGTAAATGTTATGGTATCTTGTCCAGCGTCCTTAGTGTTGCCCCCAAATGAATACAGTAACAGGCTGTGCAGGAGATTTCTTGTAATAACAGTGATAATGGAGAGCTGCAGGGCTCGCGGCGCGTTCCCGCCCTCCCGGGCGGCCCCCTCGCGTTCCCGCCCTGCCGAGCCGCCCCGCGCCGCTGCCCTGGGGAAGTGACGCGGGGCGCCAGGCGGAAGTGACGTGTATCGCGTGCAGGCCCGCACCAGTGAGGGGGGGGTTTGGACAAGATGGCTGGATCCACAGGTCTGTGAGGGGGCTCTTGGGCCTGGGGTGGGGGCGAGAAAGCGGGTGCTGGGGCTGCGCTTTGGGCCACCCTTGCAGGGGCTGGGGAGGGATCCTTTTGGGAGAAGGGAGTGAGCACTCTGGGATGGGAAGRTGCCAGAGGAGGGAGGAGGTGTCATTTGAGGGGGAAAAGGGGATCTGTAGGGGTGCTGGGTCAGGCTGTGCTCCATTCACGRTCACCCCACACCTGTAGGACAGTGRCAGCCCCATTAGGGCTTGGCCCAGGAGGTGAATGGTGCGAGAAATGGCTGTCTCCAGGTTCTATAATTAATGCAGTGGGGTGGGGAAAATTGGATCAATTGAGAGCAGGAATGGATAGCTGTGTGTGCATGTAGGGAGTTGGGCATGTCACTACCCTGATGAAAATGCTAGAGAAATTATCTTTTTTCCTAGTGTCATATCTAGTGAATCTAAGGGTTGAAATGCAATAGCACCTAAAAGAAAGAATGGTCCTACCTCTCCCCTTACTTTCCCCCCTGCATGAAGGGTATCAGGCCTATATGGTGTTGTGTAGGAAAGGTACTAGGGTTTGGTGCTGACTGCAGCATTTCAGGAAACAGTAGAGTAGGGCAGGAGAGAAAGGACAGCAGCTTGCTGTCTGTCAGTGGGTGGTCTCTGGAGCTAAAGGGCCTATATTCTGAGACTATAGCAGAGTAAAGAGCTGCAGGTTGTAACTTGGGAGCAGGGGAGAATGCTGTATCAGTAACCCGTATAACGTGTGTTGAGCAATTGCATGGCAGAGTATTGTGGAGGGTGATGGTAGAGACAAAAATACTGATTTAAGTACTTAAAGCGGAAGTTTTAGTAGTACAGGCCTACTGTCTCAGTTTCAATTTAGGAGAGGTTTGGAAAATAAGTTCCTTGTCAGTGCAAAAGTTGAAGATTTGGGGCCTATTTTGTCCCATTTTTTTGTCCACTGTGATTGCTTAATGAGAAATGGGATTGACAGATCTCAAGGAGGAGCAMTGAACTGATCTCAGCATTAATCCCTGGATGAATGTTGGTCAAATTTATTTGTTTCTATGCCCAATCTGCTGCCAATCCACTGAGTCACTGAAGGATAGAGACTATTAAAAAAAAAAAAAAAAGAGGAAGGGAATAAATTTTGGTGTATTGAAATTGATCTTGTTGCCTTACTGTGGATGCTGTGAGAAGGAGATGTTGGGCAGATTGTTTTGAGGAGGAAAGTCCGTTCCACTTGGCAGTGACTTTGGAGAAGTGGGGTTGATAGAGTGCAATCTGGAGGGCTTACAGCAAAGCTTGAAGTGGTGAGAAAGAGGAGTCGAAAAAAGGTGCATTACTGCCCATGCTAAGCTGAGTTGGAATGGTTTTATTCAAGAACCTTGCCTGTGGGTTCTATTTTGTTAATGTCTATTGAAATATCTTTGTTTTTGAGTTTTTTTTTTTAAAAGGCTTATTATACAGCAACTTCAACAGACTTCTACTTATGCTCTGGCCTTGGGTTTCCTGTAACACAGAGGAAGTTGTTCAACATCAGTGAATTCACTRTATTTTAGATTATTTTAGATACTAGTCACTAGCAATTCATATATCATAAAGCTCTTGTCTTTCTACAGAATATTTAGCTCTATAAGTTGAAATATTGTTTTGACTGAACTCAGAGGTTCAGTCCTTGCAAGGATTCTTTGCAGTCTGACATGGGATATTTGGAAGCTTCTGTATACGCGTATTCAGCACAATAATTTTTGATGACAGGTATGCAGAATTATATTTATATCTACCTGGACAGCCTAACATGCTAATTGCTACATGTGTGTGCTGTTACAGATTTTAAATGATTTTAGTAAATTTCCTTCATTATAAAACAAACAATAGTAATGACCACAAGACTTGGAAAATTTAGTCAGGGCATCCAAAGCCTGACTAAATATCTACTTATTTCCATGGGGAAAACACTGGTGGTTCTTCATTGGTATATGCTTCAGTTTTGGGGTGTTTTGTGAAGGGGATTGTTTTTTCCCTGTAGCAGACACAAGTTCAGATTTTTTTTTTTAAGATCTCATCTGGAAGCACTTATTCTTCCTATCAAAAAAATATGCTTTACTTGTCTATGGAAAGGGAAGGGAATCGTTTGCTATTGAAATAAAGTTTTAACTCTAGCTAGTTCAGTGAATTTGATGCATTTTTTCTATATAGTTCAACTTAATCCTTATTTTAGGGAGTGAGGGCGAGGGGCAAAAAACGTTTTAGTTGCATAAAGTCCAGGAATGGAAATCTATCTCTAATGAAATAAACAGCAGAAGTTTTATTAAAGTTAATTGTCCTAGTTTTATGTCACATATTTCTTTGTGAAAATGATTTATTTTTTGAACTGGCACTTAAAAAAAGCATAGAAGAACAAATAATTTGTTTGTCAATAATTGCCTTTTCATGCATTCTAAAGGAACTGCATATGTCAGTATTATATTGTTGTAGATTAAGTATCAGACAAACTTCTAACATCACCTGTATTGGGTAGTTTCATATGTAGGCATTGCAGCATCTTGAAATTGATTTTTTTAAGATGTAATTCAGTTCATCCTTCAACATTAYAACTCCTTCTACTTGCATCTACACTTGTGTTATTTGTGTAGATAGTCTTGGAAGTTTTTCAGAAAACTTCCTTTTGCTTTTCCTCCTTTTGGGAAACGGTCAGTTTCTTTAGGAAGTGAGTGGCAATTGTTGAAGTGCAGTCTACCAATTTCAGGGTGGTTTGCTGGATCCTCATTTTATTGATCTCTGAAAATACAGTATAGAAGATTTTAAGTATTTTCAAGTTAGAGGAAATTTACTAAAGCATGCTACTTAAAATGTAACTTGAGAAAGTAATTAACAGCATTTGAAGGAGTTAATATTTGTATTTCTAAAATTTTGTTTTTACTTAAAATTACCTTTTATGTGCTAGATATGTATCTAAGAATGTGAATGTATTCTTAAAGCAGTGATCATGTCACTAAGTTGTAACTTCTGTTTGAAAATCTTARATTTAAGTTTGCAGCATCTAGTAGTGTGCTCTTAACTATGGGCTGTGGGAGGTTGTCTTCTTCCACGAAGGATTTAAGTAGATGGGGGAGAGAAAGGAGAACTTACTTTTATTTCTGTTTTACTTCTAGCTTGTAATTGCAAGCAAACTTTTGTGCAAGTGCACTAAATGTCTTTGGAGGACTGCTGCTAGATCCTGAACAAATACTATTTCTGTAAAAATCCAAACATAGTCAATTTTTCCTCAAAGATTGGGCTACTTGGCATGACTTGCCTTGCCCATGTAAAAATAACTTTTCCATTGAATTTTCAATATGGCCATTGTTTTGAACAGAATTGCTGTAATGCTTTTTACTTTGTTTTTAAAGATTTAGTGGTGGTGGAAGCAATTYGAAGAAGTGTGTGGGACAAAACATCAGCTGTGAAGAGGCTGATATTAAAAATGGAGGACAGAAAATGATCTTGAGGGCATTTAGTCAAATTCCCTGAGGTATTAAGAGACCTGAGTGTATCTTTTGTGATGAGTTGTTTTTGTTTGATTCTTCTTTAAAACCTCCACTGAAGATGATTCTGTAATGTGAGGTAGGACKTCGTAATTACTTTCCATTAAATCGTTTGTATGTCTTCTCGATTCCTGATTTTCATCTGTTATCTATTTAGTGCACATAGAGATTGATGGGTCACCATTCACTGTTTGGAGTTTTTTCATTGGCGTTTATTTATAAGTAGGTTGTAGGAGTAGTGCTTTAAGGAATATTTTTTTTTTTTTCTGTATTGAAAACCATAGGATTTAAGTTTTGCATCTAGAACCGTGAGTGTTCAACTTATCATGGTTTTTACCTGATCTATTGGATCTTTGCTTTTCTTGATGACTATTCCTTTGTTCTATACCTCATAAGGTAATTTTTATCTTCTGTGATGGATTTACTCTTCCCTTGTATTTTTGACTTGTGCTTCCATTATGTTATTAATCTCTTGTYCTGAATCTATCCAAGAAGTCAGTAAAAAAGATGTTTAGAATTTTATGGTCTTTTCARACGGTGTTCTGTGTATTTATAATTTTAACTCTGTGAGCAGAGATTTCGTCAAACTGCAAGTAATTAGTGAAAAGCAAAAGTAGTAAAATAATATATTCTGTGAGAGTCCAATCTGTGTGGGGCATTTTTCTGTCCTGTGCACAAGGAATTGCAACTGAGATTGTTATGKCTGGATAAAAAATGCTTGACAACCCACAAATAATTCAGACGTGCATCAGCTGGGCTGAAAATGATTTTACTCCCAAATCGTTTATATATAAACCTTCAGCTCTTTCCCACTCTGTAGAGTATAGGGGAAAGGTACTATATTTCTCCTTGGARCTTTTCCCTTACCATTCAGTTGTCTCATGTTATTGAGACAAAATACTGTTCAAGACAGAACATTAAAAAAAGTAATGCTGGCTTTTCAGTGTTCATCATGTAAATCTAAACACAAATGAGAAGGCTCCTTGTATGTGAGAATTATATTCCGAAATCTCATAAGTTAGTCAGTGGAAACTGAGCTACCTACACACTTTATTACTTGTGGTRTTTTACCATATGTAAGATTTTTCCTAAGGTAGTGTAAATACTTTGTGTGAAAAGTGTATCACTTAAATATTTTTAATCAGGATGAAGTTCTGTAGTAACTGAAGTTGGATAAAGTAGTAGATCAAGTTCAAATACTAGAGTCACCAAAAGTTACTCAGGTTTTGTATTCTTGCTCTATCAATCTGTGGCAGCCTCAAAGTACTGCTATTTTGATTACTTAATATCATCTTCTTGTCTCTTCAAAAGCTAATCTGAAGCAGATTGATTTCAGTATGCTACCCTGCCTTCTGCCTAAAAGAATGTTTTTCTTTAATATCTTCCAAATGACAAAAACAATGAAGTGTAATTTGAACAGTGTTGAACAGAATCAATATATTAATACAAAAACTTACAGATGTAAAGCTGTCAGAC